GGAACAGCCCGGCCCGTCCGGCGAACGCCAGAGGTCCGTCCCACGAACGGCTCCGCGGAACAGCCCGGCCCGTCAGGCGAACAGAGCCGGGCCCGCCAGGCGATCACCCCCGAGGCCGCTCCCGAGAACCCAGAAATCCAAACGCCAACTCTGGAACCAAAGGCGTCAACCAATCGCCGTTCCGAACCATCGCCTGACCGCAACGAGCACTGGAACTCCCCCAAACAACCCCAAAACCCCCAACACCTGTGCTGAGCCCCCCAACCCCCGACCGGATCGGAACGGAACGGCACCCAGTCTCGCGCAGCGCACGGACCTGCGAGGTGCGTGGCTGGGTGGCACCGCAGTGCCTCAGACGTGCTCTCCTGGGAAGGGCCAGGACCCTCCTCCCGCCCCCTCCTCCCTCCTCCCCTCCCCCTCTTTTCCCTCCTCCCTCCCCCCTCCTCCCTCCTCCCTCCTCCATCCTCCCTCCTCCATTCCCCTCCCTCCTCCTACCCCATCTTCCCTCCCCCCTCCCCTCACCTTCCCCCTCCCCTCCTCCGCCTCCTCCACCTCCTCCTCCTCCTCCTCCTCCTCCTCCCCCTCCTCCTCCTCCTCCTCCTCCTCGTATTAGTTGTCTTACTCTTATTGGTATTATTCTTCTGCGCCTTATGATTATGATTGTGTTTCCTCTTCGTACTATTATTCTTACTAGTGTTATCATCATTATTCTTCTTATGATGATTATTATTAATGATATTATTATTTTTATTATTAGTATTATTATTATTCGTATTAGTATTATTCCTTATCCTCCTCCTCCTCCTCTTCCTCCTCCTCCTCTTCCTCCTCCTCCTCCTCCTCTTCCTCCTCCTCCGCCTGGGTGGCGAGGCGAGGCAAGGCCGATCGTCTTGCGAGCGACTAGGAGTCGCCGGTGAGCCCCTGATTTTCGCCCTCCTGGGGCATCCTGGGATCATCTCGTCGCCACGGCCGGACTTGCCCCGAAACTCTGAACAAAACGGACCCCAAGGAAGATCGTTCAAGCGTTGGACATCCCGGGTTTCGAGGTCATGGAATGGGGAGGACGTCTCAAGCGAAGCGCCCAGCCCGCCCTGCCGACACATGACGTGTCCAGACGAAGAGGAGTAGTGCTACGTAGAAGGAAAAGGGGATGGTGAGGACAGGAGCGGATACACGCCAAAATTTGGCCAGAAAGGGACCTGCGGGTGCCCGGCGGCGCTGTACTTTTTCCCTCTCCCGGCGGAAGTGGCGGCGAGGCTTCTGACGCAGCAGCCCACGCGCAGCGGAGAGGCTTCTGACCCACAACTCAGGCACGTCGGTGATGGTATCGTAGTGGTATTGCATGGGTATTGCGGTGGCGTAGGAAGTGCGTATGGTACTGCGTTGGTGCTGCATTTGAGTTGATACTCTATTGGTCTTGTATGTAGGCGCCTCTGGCCGATCATTGTCTTGGTACTGCATTGGTATTGCATTGGCACAGGACGGGGAGGAGATGGAGGGAGGGGAGGAGGAGGGAGCGGGAGGGGGAATGAGGGGGGGAGGAGAGAGGAATCGAAACAGAGAGAGAGAGAGGGAGCGACAGAGATAAAGACAGAAGGAGAGAGAGAGAGAGAGAAACAAACAAAAAAACAGAGAGACGCATAGAGAGAGAGAGAGAGAGACGCCCTAATTTTGTGATTTCTCCACGCCCTGCCCACACTCAACACAAAAACGACATCACCCAAGTAGGGCGGGCCGGCCGGGGAGTCGCCCGCTGAAACCAACGGTGAAAGGACAGGGTGAGAGAGATAAAAAAGAGATCAAGAGATAATACCAAATCCTGTGATTTCTCCGAGCGCCAGACAGAGGAACCGAAACAAAGAGAACGAGAGAGAGAGAGAGACAGAGATGAAGAGAGAAGGAGAGAGAGAGAGAGAGGAAGAGGAGAGGGAGAAAGATAGAGAGAAAGATATATATATATATATATATATATATAACTAGAACCACGCGCGCGCTTCGCGCGCGCTTAGGTTCTAGCTAGGAGGCGAGCTTGAGTCAACGAAAGTCGCAGGGAAGGGGGCAGGGGGAAGAAGGCCAGAGAGCGCTGAAGGATACAAATACTGGAACCCTCTTGTGATTTTGTGGGGGGCCTCGTCCGGCCGCTCGCTGGGAGTTTGACGTAGCTTCTCGGGAGCCTCTGAACCTGTCGGGGGCCTCCTGGAAGCAGGTTCGAAGCATTTTGGGGGCCGATTTGGGGCTTCTCGGGGCCTCCTTTGGGCCTCTTGGGGGTCTCCTGGGGCCTCTTGAGGGGCCTCCTTGGGGCCTCCTGGCGGCCTCTTGGGGCGGAAGGCTCGAGCTTGCGGTTCGTGGTCCCCCTCTGGGCCCCCTCTTGGGCCCGTCTTGGGGCCCTCTTGGGCCATCTTGGGCGCCTCTTGGGCCGTCTTGGGGCCCTCTTGGGCTGTCCTGGGGCCCTCTTGGAAGCTTCTTGGGCCGTCTTGGGGCGGTCTTGGAGGCCTCTTGGGCCGTCTTGGACGCGGTGAAAGCCCAAGATGCGAACATGCGAAAAATATACGTTTTCCCACAGGAATGGCACGATTTGTGTTTCTTGGACCTCTCTTGGGGTGCCTCTCGGAACGTCTTGGGCTGATTTTGGAAGCCTTTTGGCGCCTCTGGGCGGCGTTTTGGCGCCTCCTGGGATATGTTGGGCCGGAAGCTCGGAATTCGAGAGTGGCTTTCTCCTTCTGGGACCCCTCTCGAAGTCGTCTTGGGGTTCTCTTGGGCCGTCTTGGGGCCGTCCTGAGCCACTCGTGCGCAGCCTTGGAGCGCTCCCGGAGGCCTCCTAGGCCGTCTTGGAGGCCTCTTGGGCCGTCTTGGACGCGGTGAAAGCCCAAGATGCGAACATGCGAAAAATATACGTTTTCCCATAGGAATGGCACGATTTTTGTTTCTTGGACCTCTCTTGGGGTGCCTCTCGGAACGTCTTGGGGTGCTTTTGGGAGCCTTTTGGCGCCTCTTGGCGGCATTTTGGCGCCTCCTGGAGCCTCTTGGGCCGGAAGCTCGGAATTCGAGGTTGGCTTTCTCCGTCTGGGACCCCTCTCGAACTCGTCTTGGGGCTCTCTTCGGCCGTCTTGGGGCCGTCCTGGGCCACTCGTGCGCAGCCTTGGAGCGCTCCCGGAGGCCTCGTAGACCGTCTTGGGCGCCTCTTGGGCCGTCTTGGACGCGGTGAAAGCCCAAGAGGCGAACATGCGAAAAATATACGTTTTCCCATAGGAATGGCACGATTTTTGCTTTTTGGGCCTCTCTTGGGCTGCCTCTCGGAGCGTCTTGGAGGCTTCTGGGACCTTCTTGGTGTCATGACAGGCGTCTTGGAAGGCATCTGGAGCCATCGGAGCGCGTTCCGAAGCCGCCTGCGAACGATCTTGGACGGCGTCCGGCGGTCCGACGAGCCTCCGGGCCCCCCGGGGCCCACATTTGTGGTCGGGGTCCCGGCCCCGGGCCCCCGGACCCGGTGCACCGTTATATGTGTATATACGCCCTATTTGGACGATTTCCCCACGCTCCGCCCACGCACTAAAAAGAAACGACATCACCAAACCAGGGCGGGCCGGCCTGGAAACCGCACGCTGAAACCAATAGTAAAAGACAGGGCGAGCGAGAGAGAGAGAGAGAGCGCGAGAGAGAGAGAGCGAGAGAAAACAATGAGAGAGAAAGACAGAGAGAGATGGAGGGAGCGAGGGGAGGAGGGAGGATAAGGAAGCGAAGGGAGGATACACAGAGGAGGGAGGGGAGTGGCCCAATCGTGGACCTTGACCCCCCTTGACCGCGCCCGAGGCGCCGCCAGGGAGGGCCAAGCGAGGGAGCCCGGGCACACGGCGCGGGACGGGTCGGCACCAGGGTGAGCGCTCCTCCGACTCCTCCTCCTCCTCCTCAACATCCCCCCCTCCTCCTCCTCCTCCTCCTCCTCCTCCTCCTCCTCCTCGTCACCCTCGCCCGAGGGGGCCGCTCGAGGACAGGTAACTTTCTGGATTGAGAAGCCTACCGTGGAGGGAGCCGTCGCGGTACAGAGCGAACTGCGCCGTGCGCGCGTGCGCTGCTGCAGCACGCGGGGCAGCGGTGCACTTGCCAGCAGGCCGTGCCGTGCCCTTTCCCCAAACCCTCTCAGATTCCATCTCCTCTGTGGATGCCTCTGGGGGTCTCTGATTGCATGCCTCCTCTATGTCGTTGGTGGTCTCCTGAAACCCCGAAGGGCCAAGAACGATCCAATTCTCGACCCTCGATCCCCGATCCTCCGTCGGCCTCGGGCTCGGGCTGGTGGCATCAGAGGCTTCCAGTGGACGCAGCCATCCCCCCGAGGGGCAATCGCCACTGGGGTGGGTGATCAAACTCATGGAGCTGCACTGGGAAAAAAATGGGGACCACGATGAGCGCAAAGGAACCCAAAGTGGGCGGAGTAGCTATGTCCTTCCCAGCCCCTGGGGAGGGGAAGGGAAAGAGGGACGACGAAACGGCGGCGACCCGTCTATTCGTCCTCCTCCTCCTCCTCCTCCTCCTCCTCCTCCCCCTCCTCCTCCCCCTCCTCCGCCTCCTCCTCCTCTTCCGCCTCCTCCTCCTCCGCCTCCTCCCCCTCCGCCTCCTCCTCCCCCTCCTCCTCCTCCTCCTCCTCCTCCTCCCCCCCTCCTCCCCCTCCTCCTCCTCCTCCTCCTCCTCCTCCTCCTCCTCCTCCTCCTCCTCCTCCGCCTCCTCCTCCTCCTCCGTGCCTCGATCGTTGCCTGGACCTGCTCGCCGCTGGCCCACTCGCGGCCTTCATCCCCGGCGCCCACGTCCGACTCCGAGTGCCACCACCTTCGGAGGGGGGGGGAGGGGGGGGGGGGGCAAGGTGCAGAGCAGAGGAGGAGAGGAGGAGGAGGAGGAGGAGGAGGAGGAGGAGGAGGAGGAGAAGGAGGAGGAGGAGGAGGAGGAGGAGGAGGAGGAGGAGGGGGATCAGGATAAGGACAAGGTCAAGAGCAAGGATAGGGATCAGGCCATTGGGGGTCTGCTGGCCAACTCTAGAGGCATGCCGGACCCCAAAGTAGGATACGGATGCAGGCCCTGAACTGTGAAAAGCCGTTTTGGGTCTTCTGCCCCCAGGGTCTTCTGCTGTGGAGAGGGCGAACACGGGGACTACGATAAAAACTGAACGCGGAGACGTCGTGCGCGGGATCGAACCGGACGAAGCGAAACCAGGCCGGAACAAACGGGACTCAGCCGGATGATGGGCCAGTTTTCGACCAAGGAATTGCATCTCCCAAGACTAAGCAGTCAGTGCGCTTCTCCCCTCGATGCTGGCCCCCACAGCCAATGTTTTTTCACAACGTCAACCCCCAGAGGTCTGGCCCCCTTCCTCGGGACTGGCTTCTCGTCCTCAGTCGCTTCCTGACTGTCCCGGGGTCCGGTCAGGGCCCCGCCCCAGAGGCCGCAGAAACGGCCGAACACCTCTCGTCGCGTCGCGATCTTTGCACGAAGCGATCACGCCTGGGCTCCTCCCTCGATGCTGGCCCCGACAGCCAAGGCTTGCGGATGCCACGACAATGGACACCCTAACAGCCCTACCCTTGAGTTTAACACGTGTCTTAAACATGTAGGATACATGTTCTAAGCATGTTTTAAACATGCTTAAAAACATGTTTTAGACATCTGGAAATGATTTGGCACCATGCTTCCTCTCCACTGATCGTCCTCCACAGCTGAGCGTTTTCTTTGGCTGGAGGGCTCAGGGTGAAATGCATTATGGGCTTCTGCACTCCGGAAATCCATCCGTCTCGTGACCCGCCTCCTGCAGATCAGAACCTCGAAAGTCAACCGACACGGCATTTCAGATTTCGCCCTAACTTGCCCTCCACCAAGAGAAAATGCTCGCCACAGGCTCGGGTCGGGCGAAAGGGGGGGATAGCAAAGGGAGGGTTTGAGAATCAGCTCACGTAGCTGATTTTCCCGGCACCTTCCAGCGCCGGAGGCGGCCACGTATCGAGGAATGGGCCCCTCGGTGGGGCCGAAACCAGCTGCGTGCAGCAAATTTCGTAACCCCCCCTTTCCCAATCCCCCCCTTTCGCCCGACCCGAAACTTGCCCTCCACCAAGAGAAAATGCTCGCCACAGGCCATGGCCGCCGCCCCAGGCCGCCGCCGCCGACGGGGCCGAACTGACTACCTACCAGACCACCCCAACCCAACCCGAAGACCCCAATTTCGGGTTGGGGGGGGTACGGGTTCCACATGTGTTTTCTCATATGTTCCCCGACCCCCCCCCCACTGGAAATGGAGGGCAAATCGGGGCCTTCGGGTTGGGTTGGGGCCGTTGGGGTGGTCTGGTGGGTGGTGATAACTTGCCCTCCACCAAGAGAGAATGCTCGCCACAGGCCATGGCCGCCGCCCCAGGCCGCCGCCGCCGCCGACGGTCAGGAGGGGAAAAAACACACAGACACAATTAATCGTCGATTCCCCAGAAAATATGGGAAAATATGGGAAGTGGGGAAGGAGACAAAAACCCAGAAAATATAAGAAAATATGGGGGATCGTTTTATTTGTGTGTATTTATTTGTGTGTCCTGGGGCCCCTTCAGACGGGGCCGAACGGCGGGCGGCGGGCCCGCCCGGCGCTCTCTGCGCCCTCCGCGCCGGAGCCCGAGGCCGCCCTCGGGGAGCCGCCGCCCGCCGGGGACCGCGCGCCGGGCGAGGGCACCTCTTCGGGCGGCGTCGGCGTCGTCGGCGTCGTCGTCGTCCTCGTCGTCCTCGTCGTCGTCGTCGTCGTCGTCGTCGTCGTCGTCGTCGTCGTCGTCCTCGTCGTCGTCGTCGTCGTCGTCGTCGTCGTCGTCGTCGTCGTCCTCGTCGTCGTCGTCCTCGTCGTCGTCGTCGGCACGCGCCGTCTTCCTCCTCACTTCTCCTCGCTCGCTCGCTGCCTCAAGGTCGGTTCGAAGCCCAGCGACAAAGAAGGGGAGACAGGACAGAGCCCTCCTCCTCGGCCACGAGGATGATGCAGCCCAGTCCGCTCGCGCACCCCGTTCGCGTTCTGCGCCCGGGAGGCCCAGGCCGCTGGTGCCAGCGGGAGCTGGTACTGCGTTCGCTGCGCTTCGGTCAGCAGGTCCAGGTCCGCTTCCCTGTCGTAAGCAGCCAGCAAGGCGTTGTCGCCAGGACGCGACCGCGGCTTCCGAGGCCGCCGGCGCGCTCGTTTGGAGGAGGTGCGTCATCTGGCCGTCGCCGCACTGGCGCAACAGGAGCCCGGCGGTCTCCGCGGGCAGCAAGTGCGGCGAGACCGCGGCCAGGAGAGCTGACTACCTACCAGACCACCCCAACCCAACCCGAAGACCCGAATTTCGGGTTGGGGGGGGTAAGGGTTCCACGCGTGTTTTTTCGATGTTCCCCGACTTCCCCCCCACTGGAAATCGACGGTAAATTTGAGCCTTCGGGTTGGGTTGGGGTGGTTTGGTGGGTGGTGAAGAGCAGCGAATAGCAAGGAGCTCCGACGCCTGCCGCGCCGTCTCCGCGCGGCTCGCAGTCGCGCAGCCCGCCGCGCCGAAGTCGGCGCGGCGCCCGCCGCCTTCGCGGGGCAGGCCCCCCGCGGGCAAGGGGCCCTCGAGCGAGCGGCAGGCCCACGATGGTCAGGCCCTGACTACCTACCAGACCACCCCAACCCAACCCGAAGACCCGAATTTCGGGTTGGGGGGGGGTACGGGCTCCATGTGTGTTTTTTCAGTGCTCCCCGACCCCCCCCGCCAACTGGAAATGGAGGGCAAATTGGGGCCTTCGGGTTGGGTTGGGGTGGTCTGGTGGGTGGTCAGGCCCTGCGCACGCCATTGCTCCTCCAGGCCGGGAAGGCGAGCCGCGCCTGCTGACCAGGCGTGCGTCTTCCGCGGCCGTGACAAAAGGCTTGCTCACGGGCGAGCGGGCGGGGCCGTCTCCCGCATTCGAAACGCAGCGGCGCCCGCGTGGTCTCCCTGGCCCACCGCGCCAGTGGAGCGCAGGCGGTGACAGACCCCCTCCTCCTCCTCCTCCTCCTCCTCCTCCTCCTCCTCCTCCTCCTCCTCGTCGTTCTCCCTCTCCTTCTTCGTGATCTTCATGATCCCCATCCACATCCTCATCCTCACCATCACCATCACAGGCAACGGCACCAGCACCAGTACCAGCACCAGCACCAGCACCATCATCAGCATCAGCATTAGTATCATCATCATCATCATCATCATCATCATCATCATCATCATCATCATCATCATCATCATCATCATCATCATCATCATCATCATCATCATCATCACCATCAGCATCATCATCATCAGCATCACCATCATCATCAGCAGCATCATCAGCATCATCATCAACATCATCATCATGATCATCGTCATCATCATCAGCATCATCGTCATCATCGTCAGCATCATCGTCATCATCATCGTCATCATCAACAACATCACCAGCAGCATCATGATCAGCATCAGCATCAGAAACAGCATCATCATAAGCATCATGATCATCATCATCAACATCATTCGCATCAACATCATCATTATCATCATCAACATCATCATCATCAACATCATCATCATCATCATCATGACCATCACATCCTACTCCTCCTCCTCCTCTTACTCCTCCTCCTCCGCCTTCTCCTCCTCCTCCTCGTCTTCCTCAACATATCCTCCGCCTTCTCCTACTGCTCCTTCTGACTCCCATCCCTCCTTCTCCTCGTCCATTCCTTTTCCTTAAACACAACTCCTCCCTATCTCAAACCCCGCATGTCGGCAGGGCGGGCTGGGCGTTTCGCCTGGGACCTTATCACCACTTGGGGCAATATAGCTTGGATTCTGCAGCAGCGTAAAGCATGGAAGGTGGGGGTGCAAAATGAGGTTCTCGCCTCAGCGCCGCGCACATGAGCTTACAAGTTCACAAAACACTGTGGCGATGTATGGGGGTTGTTTTTAATATGGTGCTCTCTCTGTAGCGCAGCGCACATTCGTCTTTAAAGTATGCAACATTCAACGATGGAACAAAGGACGTTGTCAAAATAGGACTCCCGCTCTAGAGCCGCGCACAATCTTCTGAAAAAATGTGCCGGCTTCAAAAGGACAGTCGGTTACTTGTCAAACTGGGATTACTGCCATAGCGCCGTGCACATGCATCGTAAACCGTACAACAGATTACTATTTAGAAGGCAGCCCTTTCTCTAGAACGGTCGCCCCGCCAGTGAGCAAGACAACATTCTGACATCCATCACCCCCATCGTAATTTACACATACTGGATAAACGCGTTATTACGTCCTTGGGCCTACATAACAAATACATTCCCCTGGTAATCAGCCGCGTCTGATTATACGCTGCCGCCTCGCACCTCTCATCCGTTGGTAAACGCACGGGCTTAGAATTGTTCGAAAAGATGTACGTATATAGTAAAAATTGATGTAGCTGCGTTCAGATTATGGACATGGCAGGGTGGCAGATAACTAGGAGAGTCATTGGTGCAGGAACCTTACGAACAAAAAGGAGAACTTGCAGCATGAATCCTTACTGGTGAACCCTTATCACAGTAAACAGTGTCAAAAGGATCCTTTTCATATGGGACCCCGACTGAAGAAACACTTACTAACGATCCTCCGAGCTGTGTTATCCTTCCAGCAAGGACCTTGCCTGGCGGAATCCGAACGGGAGCAGTATCGCTGGAACCCTGAAGCAAGCATTACTGCAAGAATATTTGCTGAAGGGTTCCCCCCGTAATCAAAGGCGCCATTACTAAAGGACTCACTGCTAAAGAAACCCCTGCAAGAGAAGAAACCTTACAGAAGAGGCCATTACTAAGGAGCCCTGACCACAAGAGTCCTTACAAAACAAGGAATTCCTTCTCAAGGGGTCAACATCCCAAAAAAAGGCCTTACAAAAAGGATCGGTGCTGAAGGGATCCTTGCCAATGGAGTTCTTACGACGGGACCGAAGGGACTGCTTCCCAAGGGCTTATCAGGGCATCCTTACGATTCCTGAGCAGCCAATGCTAAACTAATCGTGCTGGCAAGACTCCTGGCAACAAAAAACAATCCTTTTGGAAAGAATCCTTACTGAATGAAACCCACTGGAATCCTGATTAAGGAGTCCTCATTCAAACTGAAAGCCCTTCTTCGCTACCGGTTTACCCACGGGGTCCTTACTGAAGCGTCCTTTGCTGCAGAAGCTCTTACCCAACGGAGACTTACTGAAATAACCCCCCATTGATAAAGAAATCCTTATACTTGGCAGCGTCTCACTCCGGAACCCCAGAAATATGGAATCACTACTGACGGAATCCGTATCAGAGAAATGCTTGCTAAAGGAATCCTTAGTGGAGAACGATTTGCGGAAAGGGATCCTTACCGAAAAAATATGTTAAAAATGCATTCTCACGACAGGAAACCTTACAAAGAAACCCTTCCATGCGAGAGTCATGGTACAACGAATACTTATGCAATGGTCTCAATTACACGAGCCTTGCTGAAAGACTCATTCCTGAAAGACGTTGGTTCTAGAAAAAAACTTGCGGGGAACATCGCTACGGAAAAATACTTACTGAAACGGTCTGTGCTATAATAACCCTGGCTAACACGCCCTTACTCGAATTAAGCCTTAGCGGGAGAACTATTCACTAAAGGAGACACTGGCAAAGCAATCCTCACCACAGGAATAGTTGTCAGAGGAACACCCCTTATCAGAAGACCCTTACGAAGGAAACCGCTTCTCAAGGAATTCGCTGCTAAACGCACGAAGCAAGTCTCTCACAATAAACATCCGCGCTAGCGGAATGATTATAGAAGGCGCTCTTAACAATGGAATACATATCACAGGAAACCTGATTAAAGCGGCCCGTGTTAAGGAATTCTTGCTCCGGGAGTCCTTACCAAAGGAACCCTGATTAAAGGAATCATTACCAAAGGAACCCTTATAGAAAGGACCCTTGTTACAGGAACCATTGTTGGAGGAGTCCGTTCCAAAACAACCCTTACCACAGACTTGATTAATGAAAGGAGTCCATATGAAGAAGTCCTTACTGAACGAGTTATTACTGAGCAGTCCTATTCTGAGGACTCCAAACTACTTGCAGAAGGGGCCCTTCCTGAAGAAAATCCTTACTCTATAGGATGTCCAGCCTAAGCATCGCTCAAACCTGCATCCGTCCTGTTGCGGAAGGAGCAGCACGGACGAGGACGAGGGAGAGCAGCGAGGGAACGAGGGCGACATCAGGGAGGCGGCGGAGGACCGACGAGGAGGGCGGCGAGGATGAGGAGAACAAGGACAAGACGAGAGGGCCAGCACAAGGAGGACGACGACGCTGACGAAGACGGCGGCGGTGACGCCGGCGGCGGCGGAGACGGCGGCGGCGGCGGCGGCAAGGCGCCGGCGACGGCTCCGCCGAGTCCAGCGGCGGCCGCGCCGCGTCCCCGTCGGCGGCTGGGGCGCCAGCAAGGAAGCCCTTCGCCACCACGGCGGGGCCGCCCACCTGCCGGGTGGGGGGGGCCGGCCGTGCATCGGCAGCGGCCCTGGGCCAGGCTCAGGTCGGGCATGTCCTCCTTTCTACAGGCGGGCTTTTGGGAGAAACGTAAAAACAGTCAGAAAAAAAAAAAAACAATGTCCAAAGAGCACGAGACATCGTCGCCAGACTGTTTTTCCCCAGTCAGAGCTTGCCCCTGCAGGGGTCCTCGCGGATTCATATGTGTAGGTGACCTACGTCGCCGATTTCGGTGGCTGGGCCCGGGTGCCCGGGTGCCCGGGGGTGCCCAGGTGCCCGGGTGCCCAGCCCGGGGGTGCCCGGAGGCGCCCGGCAGGCCTACAGCCCTATAGCCCTATGGCCTTATAGCCCTCAAGCCCTATAGCCTTATAGCCCTATAGCCCGACTGGTCCTATATCCCATATGGCCCAATAGTCCTATAGCCCGATTGCCTTATAGCCTAGCCCTATAGCCCTTTAGCCGTATAGCCCTATAGCCGCATAGCCTTATAGCCCTATAGCCCCATAACCCTGTAGCCCTATAGCCGTGTAGCCCTATAGCCCCAGAATCATCTAGCCCTATAGCCTTAAAAAACTGACCTGGCGAAGGACCCAATCATATGCACTTGTGAGTGCCGCAATTGTGAATATTTTTTTTCGGTGGCGCTCCCTACGGGGCTACGAACCGTATGAGTGGTGCGCCAAATTGCGCGGCGGGGCACACAGCACGAACGAAGACGATAGGTCGAATTACGAGAGACTGAGCGCGGGTGAGTTTGAGCGCGAGTGAGTCTGAGCGTGACTGAGTCTGCGTAAGAGTGAATATATTTGCATGAATGCGAACATGGCCACACCTGGTGTGTATATTTATATTTGGACGGTTCACGTACGCCTGACCCTGAGTACTCGCGACACTGAGGGTGGCCGCCGCAGGAAGCTCCCCCTGGAACCCCGACAACAGCGCCCGCACGCCGCGACGCCCATGTCGGCACGCTCCTCGCGAGGATCACGCCCGCTTCCGTCAAGCTTTGTTTCTCCATCTTTCCCCGTGCACGCCCATGTCCAAGGCTGCGGGCGCGGCGCCGCGCACAGTCCCCGCGACGCGCGTAGGTCGCCCCCGATGGGTCCCGGCGACGCGCGCGGGTCGTCCGCTGCGCGGAGCAGAGAGAGCGAGCTGGCTGGCTGATCGCGGGCAAGGCTGTAGTCTCTGGGCAGAGCGACGACGGGGGCGAGCGAGGCTTTGGGCAGAGCGCAGCGCGAAATTCCTGCGACGCGCGCTGGTCGCCCCGAGAGGGTCCCAGCGACGCGCGCGGGTCGCCCGCGGCGCGAGGCCAAACAGACAGACCGTCGAGAGACGGCGAGGCTCGGGCGGGCCGCTCCTCAGGTTAAGCCTAGCGGATAAACTCGGTGAAGATCAGCTCCCTGGCGAGGGTCGCCGCCTCCCTCCTGCACCGTTTCGTGCGCGTGGCAAGCTGCTCCAGCTGCTTCCGCAAGCCCTCCGGCGGCCGTGCCAGGAAGAACTCGATGCAAACTGCGCCGCTGGGACCTTAGGAGGAGCTCCCTCTGGGATCACGAAACGTGTAACGGGTGTGCCAAATTGGGGCGGCGGGCGGCGGCGCCATGCGAGCTGCGCCAGTGGGACCTTAGGTGGAGCTCCCTGTGGGGCCACGAAACGTGTGAAGGGTGTGCCAAAATGGGGTGGCGGCGCCATGCGAGCTGCGCCACACGTGTGAGGGGTGTGCCAAATTGGGGCGGCGGCGCCATGCGAGCTGCGCCACGTAACAGGTGTGCCACAATGGGGCGGCGGCGCCATGCGAGCTGCGCCACGGGGGCCGTAGGTGGAGCTCTGTATGGGGCCACGAAGCGTGTGAGGGGTGTGTCAAAGTGGGGCGGCGGCGCCATGCGAGCTGCGCCACTGGGACCTTAGGTGGAACTCCCGTTGGGGCCACGAAGCGTGTAACAGGTGTGCCAAAATGGGGCGGCGGCGCCATGAGAGCTGCGCCACGGGGACCTCAGGAGGAGCTCCCTATAGGCCACAAGACGTGTGAGGGGTGTACCAAAACCAAAACGGGGCGGCGGCGCCATGCGAGCTGCGCCACTGGGACCTTAGGAGGAGGTCCCTACGGGGCAACGAAACGTGTGAGGGGTGTACCAAAATGGGGCGGCGGCGCCATGCGAGCTGCGCCACTGGGACCTTAGGAGGAGCTCCCTACGGGGCAACGAAACGTGTGACGGGTGTGCCAAAATGGGGCGGCGGCGCCATGCGAGCTGCGCCACTGGGAGCTTAGGTGGGGCTCCCTGTGGGGCCACGAAGCGCTGTACTGGGGAAACGCAACGAAGAGAGAGGAGGAAAGGAGGAGGAGGAACGCGGGGCACCGTCTCTTCAGAACGAGGACCCAACACCACAGGTGGTTGGGAAATATCATTGGGGCTTTTGTCCGGTATCATTTGGACTGACGCTTCAGCAACCCGCCTTCTCGACCTGGCCGTCTGGACACGCCTCCCCGACCCGCCCGCCAGGGTCTGCCCTCCCGATCTGCCCGCATGGTTCTGCCACGTGATTTCTGCTCCTAGCCTCCATCTTGCTAATTTCTCTAGTGTTCCATCCTTCTCCCTCTTCCCCTCATTCCCCTCTTCCCTCTTCCCCTAATTTAGGTGCTGCGCTAAATGCACGTGGCAAGTAAGGAAGACATACCCTCCAGGGGGTGCGATCGAAGAAGAAGAAAAAGAAGGCGGGCACCGAGGGTACGGAATATTCGCATCGAGCGAATATGAGCGAACCGTCTTAAAATGACTGTTGATGTTACTGCTGTTGTTGTTGGTGGTGTTGTTGAACTCTTATTACTCAAACATAAGTATTGTTGACGCCCCTCCAGTGCCCATTGTGTGTGTTCAATTGAAGTGCCCCTCGTGGGGTCCCCGCCCAAGTTTTTACAAGGGGAAGCTTTGGGCCTAAGACTGGGCTGCTGGCTCCCGAGCTAAATCAACAACGGCTCCCGCCTGAGACCTCCTCACCGTGTATTCAGAATCGCGCTCTCAGGCGGGACTCCTGCACAGTTTATACGGGAGTCGTGCTCTCGCGTGGGACTTCCTCCCGATTCATCCATACGACGCGCCCACGACACTCAGTAATCACGCTCTCGCTCTGGATTCCCTCACGATCTACTACTTGGGAATCGCGCTCTCGCTCGAGACTTCTTCGCGATGAATGCAAGACCGACGCGTCAGCGACCCACCCGCTCGACCCCGCCGCCTGGGCCCGCCTGCTAGGGTCCGCCCGCCCGACCCGCCCGTCTGGTTCAGTCGATTGCTCTTTTGCTCCCAATCCCTTTCCCTCTCCCTTCTCGTGTCCTTCTCCCTGCCCCTTGTCCCTTCCTTCTTCCCCTGTTAGGGGCTGCACCAAATACATGTGGCAGGTAAGGAAGATATATGTACCCCCAAAGGGGGTACGATCGAAGACGAAGAGGGCGGGCATCGAGGGTTCGGAATACACGTGTTGAGTGGCACACGAGCACATAGGAGCGAACGGTCTGAAAAAAATTCTTGTCGTCATCGTCGTCGACGTCCTCGTCGTCGTCGTCGTCGCCGTCGTCGTCGTCGTTGTCGTCGTCGGGCCCCCCCCTGGCGACCCCCCCGCGACCCGCCCCGCGACCCGCGACCCGCCCCATCACTCTCGCCCGCAGTGGCGGTGTGCCATCTATTCGTTGGCGTCGCCCGACCTGCCCGCCCGGCGCCGCGCGCCGCTGGATCACCGCGTCCAGCTCCCGGCGCGCCTCGGCGCTGGGGGCCAGCCGATGGGCGGCCCTGGGCGGAGGCGCTCACAAGCCGTCGCCGCCGTCTGCATCGACGACGACGACGACGACGACGACGACGACGACGACGACGACGACGACGACGACGACGGCGGCGGCGGCGGCGACGACGACGACGACGACGGGCGCGGCGGGGAACTCTTCTCGGCCTATAGCTGCCCCGATGCGCAACACGACACCCGTGGCGTGCTGACACGAATCCCTCCGCACGCAGACGGAACGAACGCAGGCCCGGCGCGAGACGCTCGCTCGCCAGGGCGCGGGCCAGCACGCGCCGAGCCGACACGCGGCGTGTGGACACGCATGTCTCGAACACTTTTGATCCGCGGGTCTAGAGGAAAGAGAACTATGCACATGCACCGATTCTGGCCAGACCCATCCTGAGCCCATGATCGGTGCATACGCCCTCCTGCCTTGGCCAGGAAGGCATATGCACCGATCCTGGGTCAAGGATGGGCCTTGCCTGGATCAGTGCATGTGCATAGTTCTCTTCGCCCGAGGGTCGAGAGCGCACCTCCTCGGGTCGGAGCTAAGCGGGCCGCGCGAAGCTCGGGTGTCTTGGACACGGAGCGTGCTGCGCTACAAAGCGGGCGAAAAGTTGCCCGGCGCTGAAGCAGGCTCGCCAGGGCTGGGCGCGCCCTGGCGAGCCACCCGGACCAAGCCACAGGCCGCAAACTCGCTGGCCAGGACGCCTCCGGGGAGGGGTCCAACGAGCCGGCGCGGAGTTGGGTGGGAGGCAGGGCCAGGAGGGGCGGGAGGAGGTGGCCAGTCTTTAGGTCGGGCATGTGCTCCTCCAGGCGGATTTTGGAGGGAGAATGAGAAATAGCCAAAGAATGCCCAAGCATAGATTCGAAATCATCGGAAAATCGTGCCAAAACTATGTTTTAAACTTTCTGGGAATACTCCTCCTGTAGAGGGACATGCCCGACGTAAGGCCAGCTTGGAACGGAGTTGGGTGGTCGGAGGCAGGGCCAGGGAGGGGGGCGCTGCCCTCTGCGAGAGCAGGGGGCCTCCCCGAAGGGCCCCGCGCGCCCGTCCTGAAGAGGCGCCCGGGGAAGCCGTCTCGCCATCGCTCGCGCTTCGTGCGTTCCTTTGTTTCTCGCCGAGCGACCCAAACGGCTCCTCGATGGTCCTCGCCGTGAAAGCGTGCGCGCGTCCGAGCGATGCCCCGTCCATGGAAGGCAGGAAGGCCTCTCAGAGGCTCAAGAGGGCCGCCCCTCGCCTCAGTTCGGGCATGTCCTCCTGCAGGCGGATTTTGGAAGACAAATGAAAATAGCCACACACACACACAAACACACACGCACAAAATAAGAGTCCAACCTTATCGAACAACATAATCCCCATATCTATGTTGTACTGTTGTTTGACTTTTCTCCTGTAGAGTTGTGGATGCCACGAAAATGGACACCCTAACAGTCCCATCATTGAGTTTAAAGTGTGTTCCAAAATGTCGGACCAGTGTTCTAAGCATGTTCAACACATGGCCCTGACATGTTTAGAACATGTGCTTCACATGTTTTAGACATCTGGAAACTATTTGGCAGCATGCTTCCTCTCTCCACTGATCGTCCTCCGCAACTGTGGAGGGAGACGTGCCCGACCTGCGCCGCCGCACCACGCGCGACGGGGCCTGTGGGCCCGGCGGCTCTCTGCCCAGCCGTGCGACACCGGGCGCGCTCTCCGTGGGGCTCCCCGTGCCGCCCCGGCGACGCCTCGGCGACACGCCGCGCCCTGCGAGCGGGTGGCGTGCCGCGCCGCCCCGCGGGCCGGGAGGCTGGGGAAAAACACGCACAACAAAAACACACACAAAAAAAACATACAAACACACACACAACACACACACAAAACAAAAACACACACACACACACACAACACACACAAAACAAAACACACACACACACACACACACACACACAAAAAAAAAAAACACACACACACACAAAAACACACACACACACACACACACTCTGAGGGAAAAGCCCAGGCCCCCTCGCGCGGCGAAGACATCACGACGGGCGGTTCTTCGCCAAGCTCGGCCTCCGGGGGCCCTCGCTGGGCCTCGGCACCATCAGAGAACGATTCGGGGGGAAGAGCCGGTCCCAGGGAAGGGGTCCAGAGCTCTGGGGGTCGACGTTGCGAACAAATCGCGACGTCGGAGGCCCGGGAGGCTCAGGACGTCTCGACGCTCGGGGGCTGGGCAGCGGATTATAGCGTGCAGCGCCGAAGCGTGGCGGGCCAGAACCGGCGGAGCGACGCTTCTTTTGATCCGCGGGCCGAGAGCGCGCCTCTTCCGGTCGAAGCCAAGCGGGCCGCGCGAAGCTTGAAGTATAGGCGGAGGGGGGGGGGGGAGGAGAGAACGCGGCGGGGCCTTATAGGGCGAGGCCGAGGGGAGGCAGAGCCCCGGCGACGGGCGGCGCCGAAGCCGCAGGTCTTGGCACAGGATCGCCCATGGCGGAGCGACACGCCCTCGACGCAGCGAAACCCCCGGCCGCAGCTCGGGCCTCCGACGGCCGCCGCGGGGGGACGGCCCGGGCGCCCTGCTGGCGAGGCGCGGCTGCCAGAAAAAAAAGCACCCCGGGGCGAGACTCTCGCCTCGGGGGGCTTCTTTTCTGGCAGCTGCTCTCGACCTCGCCCCGAGGCGAGACTCGCCTCTCGACCTCGCCGGGAAGGGCTCCCTCGCCGCGAGAGAGCCCTTCCAAGAGCCAGCGGCAACCCTCGAGAGCGTGCAGGAGAGCCCAGGATCGAATCGATCGGTCGGATCGGCGATCGAAACGAATCGGGTCGGCGGAACTCGGCAGCCGAGCCGGGAGAAGTCGAACCGGCAGAAATCGGCAGCCTAGTACGCCTCCAATAAGAACTCGGAGCCCAAATCGGAATCCGAAACCGGATCGAAGCGGAATCGGAAGCCACCGAACTCGAATCGGAGGAATCGAAATGAGCCCTCGCGAGGCTCCGAGAGGAGGAGGAGGAGGAGGAGGAGGAGGAGGAGGACGAGGAGGAGGAGGAGAACGAGGCGGAGGAGGAGGAGGAGGGAAGAGGAGGAGGAGGGAGGAGGAGGAGGAGGAGGAGGGGAGGAGGAGGAGGAGGAGCGAGGAGGAGGAGGAGGGGAGGAGGAGGAGGAGGAGGAGGGAGGAAGGGGAGGAGAGGAGGAGGAGGGGAGGAGGAGGAGGAGGAGGAGGAGGAGGAGGAGGGAAGAGGAGGAGGAGGGAGGAGGAGCAGGAGGAGGAGGAGGAGGAGGAGGAGGAGGAGGAGGAGGCGGAGGAGCAGGGGACAAACTGCGGGCGCCCGGCGAGGCCTCAGGTCGTCCTCCGCCCCGGCGAGGAGCCCGAGCCTCGCGGCCGCGACCCCGCGGCGGTAGAGCGCCTTGGCGCTGCCGGGGCTGGCCTCCAGGGCCCGGGAGGCGCTCCGCTGCGCGGCGTCCCACCGCTCCAGCCGCAGGGCGCACAGGGAGAGGCTCGACGGTCTCCAGGGCCAGCTCGGAAGCTGGGCGGGGGCCGGCAGATCCGTGGCCGCCAAAACGGTCTCCCCGGAGGAAAAGGAAACGGATTCCTGGAAGAACACTCAGCGCACTTATAACAGTAAACGGGCGGGCAGCTTCCCGGGAGAAAACAAAAACAAGTTCCTGGCGCTCGGTGTTAGCAGCCACGGGTTCGCCAGCCCTCGCCTGGCTTCTGCCCAGTGTCAGCGCCAACGTGTCTTCCACCGAAACCCTGCAATGAGACGCAGGCGGCGTGAGGAGCCAAAAAGCAGGCACATCCCAACTTTGGGCGGACCGCCCGGATTTTTCTTGGAGCTGCGCTGGACCCCCTTCCCTAGCGCACGGAGCGCGCCTGGGGCGGCGCCAGAGGCGCTGCCAGGGGGGTCCCTCGCAGATCCAAGGATTCCGTGCGCACCGCCGAAAGGCAATGTTTATTACAGTGCATAGTTTAACACATATGATTCTTATTAGAATGATCATTCTTATGATTATTATTATTATCAGTATTGCAATTCGTGTTATTGGTATTACTCTTCTTCTTACTCTTCCTAACATTCGTCTTCTCATTACGATAAGAAGCTGACAGCCGACTGAACACGCGCTGGGCCAACACACGCACTGGAGGCCATCGAGAGGTTCAGGTCCAGCGCCGTCCCGAGCTCCCTGGCGGCCTCTGGGGGTCCCGAAACCGTGCGGCGACAGACCGCGCGGTGACCTCGGAATCCCCACAGACCTTACCGCACGGTCCAGCCAGCGCACGGTCTTGGTACCCTGGATGCACCAGTCGCCCGAAACATCCTGGGTTAATGACCCAAGTCCCAAAACCGTGCGGCCACTGGTGTCAGAAATGAGCGCGCGGTGTCAGAAACCACCGCACAACTCGTAACGGCACAAACCTGCTGCACGTTTGCTCCGTTGCTCCCGCGTTGCTGTCCCCTCGCGAACGTTTTCTTCCTCGGCATTTCGACATTGGGCAGAAGGGGGATGGGAGGGGGGGGGATCTGGCTCCGGACCTCTGCTCGATGCGTCTGTTTGCAAAAGTGCGTCCTATGGGGAAGACCCCACCTGCTTGAAAAAGGAGGGGGGGCGAAGGCCCGCGCCGATCGGCAAAACAAGGAGTGAGAGAACGATCACCATGCCGTGTCCTCCCATCCGCCTGTTCCGTCCCGCTGGCCCGGGCCTCCCACCTGCGCGTTCGCCGCCGCCTGCCTGCTCTTTTCCTGCCCTCTTCCTCCCTCGCCGACGGCCACACTTAGGTCATGCATGTCCTCCTACAGGCGGACTTTGGGCGAAAGATGAAAAGTTGTCAGAAAATATCAACAAATAATCAAACATAGTAGAAAAATCGTGCCCAGACTATTTGTTTCACTATTTTTGAATTTTCATCCTGTAGAAGGACAAGCCCGAACGCAAGAGCGACCCCGGGTCAGAGTGACACTGTGGTGCGCGGCCTGAGGGGGGCGCCAGAGATGGCCAAATCCGAGCGCGCACGCAGCAGCTGTCGCATCGCGTTCAGCGATCGGGGGACCCCGATGAGCCCGCACCAAACAAAGGTCACTCTGGCGAAGGGTCACTCTTAATCCTCCTCCTTCTCCTCCTCCTCCTCCTCCGCGCCAGGTGGCCAGATCCGAGCGCGCGAGCAGCCGCTGTCGCATCGCGCTCAGCGATCGGGGGGACCCCGATGAGCCCGCACCAAAGGTTAGGATGTTCCAACCTACTTTAACCGTGCCTGCCAGAAAGAGCTTCGAGCACCAACAATGCACCGAGACCGGAGGGTTTTTGCACCGAGACCAACAATGCACCAATGGCGATAATTACTCGCTCGGCACCATTTCGACACTCTTCTGGGTGTTCGAGATTATTTCTGGGGTGTGGTCCTCAAGTACGATGGGAGCAACATACCTCAAAGGCCACGCTGGCGAAAGGTCACTCTTACGTTTAGGCCGGGCATGTCCTCCTACAGGGGGCTCCTGGACGAAGAAGAAAAGATGTTCTAAAAGATACCCCAGAACAGCCAACAGCACGTTTGAACAACGTCTCCCCAGGCTATCTGTGAGCTGCTTCTGGATATCCCTGCTGCAGGGGGACAGGCCCGACTCGCTCTGACGTGCAGGCGGCTCCGCCGCCCTGCTTCTGGATATCCCTGCTGCCGGGGGACAGGCCCGACTCGCTCTGACGTGCAGGCGGCTCCGCCGCCCTGTTTCTGGATATCCCTGCTGCAGGGGGACAGGCCCGACTCGCTCTCACGTGCAGGCGGCTCCGCCGCCGCGCAGCGCACAAACTGCCCGGGGGGAGCCGGCGCGCGGACCCCCTCGGAGGGCGCGCCCTCCGGCCTGCGGGCAGGCGGAGCGGGTGCACGCACGCAGGGAGCGGCCTTCAGGCTTGCGCCGCTGCCCTTCGGCGTCAGGGCCGCATCCCAGACGTCCTTTCGCGCACCCAGAGAAGAGTGCGGCGCTGGATCAAGTCACGTTCGCCTTCTTCCTTTATGTTAAGAAGAAGGGAACGTGACCGTGACCGTGACCGTGACCGTGACCGTGACCGTGACCGTGACCGCGACCGTGACCGTGACCGTGACCGCGACCGTGACCGTGACCGTGACCGTGACCGTGACCGTGACCGTGACCGAGACCGTGACCGTGACCGTGACCGTGACCGTGACCGTGACCGTGACCGTGACCGCGACCGTGACCGTGACCGTGACCGTGGCCGTGACCGCGACCGCGACCGTGACCGTGACCGTGACCGTGACGGAGACCGCGACCGTGACCGCGACCGTGACCGGTACCGTGACCTTGACCGTGACCGTGGCCGGGCCCAGGGCCGTTCCGGGGTCGGTGCTGTGCGAATAAGAAGACGGCGACCGTGACCGCGACCGTGACACGCGTGAACCCTAACGGGCGGGTCGGGTCGGGTCGGGCGGGCGGGCCCTAACGGGCTAGTCGGGTCGGGTCGGGCGGACCCTAACGGGCGGGTCGGGTCGGGCGGGCGGGACATTAAAGCATGGTGCGTGTGCACTTGACACGCGTGAACCCAAACGGGCGGGTGGGGTCGGGTCGGGCGGGCGGGCCCTAACGGGCGCGTCGGGCCGAGTCGGGCGGACCCTAACGGGCGGGTCGGGTCGGGCGGGCGGGACATTAAAGTATGGTGCGTGTGCACTTGACACGCGTGAACCCTAACGGGCGGGTCGGGTCGGTTAACGGGCGGGTCGGGTCGGGTCGGGCAGACCCTAATGGGCGGGTCGGGTCTGGCGGGTGGAGCATAAAAAATGGTGCGTGTACACTTGGCACGCGTGAACCCTACGGGCGGGTCGGGTCGTGTCGGGCGGGCGGACCCTAACGGGCGGGTCGGGTCGGGCGGACCCTAACGGGCGGGTCGGGTCGGGCGGGACATTAAAGTATGGTGCGTGTACACTTGACACGCGTGAACCCTAACGGGCGGGTCGGGTCGGTCGGGCGGGCGGACCCTAACGGGCGGGTCGGGTCGGGTCGGGCGGACCCTAACGGGCGGGTCGGGTCGGGCGGGCGGGGCATTAAAGTATGGTGCGTGTGCACTTGACACGCGTCGAACCCTACGGGCGGGTCGGGTCGGGTCGGGCGGGCGGACCCTAACGGGCGGGTCGGGTCGGGTCGGGCGGACCCTAACGGGCGGGTCGGGTCGGGCGGGCGGGACATTAAAGTATGGTGCGTGTACACTTGACACGCGTGAACCCTAACGGGCGGGTCGGGTCGGGTCGGGCGGGCGGACCCTAACGGGCGGGTCGGGTCGGGTCGGGCGGACCCTAACGGGCGGGTCGGGTCGGGCGGGCGGGACATTAAAGTATGGTGCGTGTACACTTGACACGCGTGAACCCTAACGGGCGGGTCGGGTCGGGGCGGGCGGGCCCTAACGGGCGGTCGGGTCGGGTCGGGCGGACCCTAATGGGGCGGGTCGGGTCTGGCGGGTGGGGCATTAAAAAATGGTGCGTGTGCACTTGACACGCGTGAACCCTAACGGGCGGGTCGGGTCGGGTGGGCGGCGGACCCTAACGGGCGGGTCGGGTCGGGCGGGCGGGCGGACACTAGGGGCGGGTCGGGTCGGGCGGGCGGGGCCTTGAAGTACGGTGCGCGTGCACTTGACACGCGCGAACCCTAACGGGCGGGTCGGGTCGGGTCGGGTCGGGCGGGCGGACCCTAACGGGCGGGTCGGGTCGGGTCGGGCGGACCCTAACGGGCGGGTCGGGTCGGGCGGGCGGGACATTCAAGCATGGTGCGTGTGCACTTGACACGCGCGAACCCTAACGGGCGGGTCGGGTCGGGCGGGCGGGCCCTAACGGGCGGGTCGGGTCGGGTCGGGCGGACCCTAACGGGCGGGTCGGGTCGGGCGGGCGGGACATTAAAGTATGGTGCGTGTGCACTTGACACGCGTGAACAGGGCTGGCCCCGCTTCCGCGCCTCCAATTGTTCCACATCGAACTCCCGCGGCAGCACTGGCGTGTTCGGTCCTTCCAATAATGCCCACGGTCTAAAGATAAGCCCTCCGAAAAGAGCATCGGTCGTGATAGCACATCCGGAGTCGATTCGCTGAATTGTTGGGGCTTTGAAGGCCCCCCCCCTTTGGGGGCGTCGTCGTTGTTCTGAAGCAGTATCAAGCGGGAACCCTGTTTCAGCTTCGAACAGGCGATGTTGAAAGCAGAGCCAGCGGGTTCTATCCGACAGCCCTTCTTGTGAAGGGCTTTTCGGGGAGCCCAAGGAGCTGGACCTGGAGCCGCGGCTCCAGACGGGCCCAGACCTCTCCACGACGATCCACTTACCCTCCGAGGAGTCAGGCGCCATGCCATGCCATGCTGTGCGGTGCGGTATTGTGTTCCGCGCCGCTGTGCGACGCCGCGCTTTGGGTCCAGACCATGACCGATGCTGCCAGCGACTTTGTCGCCGATGACGTCACCATTACACCGGCAAAACCCATGCCCGTGGCCGTGGCCGTGACCGTGGCCGCGGCCGTGGCCGTGGCCGTGGCCGTGACCGTGACCGTGGCCGTGACCGTGGCCGTGACCGTGACCGTGACCGCGACCGTGACTGTGACCCTGACCGTGACCGTGACCGTGACCGTGACCGTGACCGTGACCGTGACCGTGACCGTGACCGTGACCGTGACCGTGACCGCGACCCTGACCCTGACCCTGACCCTGACCCTGACCCTGACCCTGACCGTGACCGTGACCGTGACCGTGACCGTGACCGTGACCGTGACCGTGATCGTGACCGGGACCGGGACCGGGTCCGGGTCCGGGTCCGGGTCCGGGGCCGGGTCCGGGTCCGGGACCGTGACTGTGACCGTGACCGTGACTGCGACCGTGACCGTGACCGTGACCGTGACCGTGACCGTGACCGTGACCGTGACCGTGACCGTGACTTGATCCAGCGCCTTACTGCAGAGAAGCATGGAAGCAGTGTCGAGCGAGCATCGCCTCCGAGGGCCCGACACGTGACAAAAGCCCTCGAATTTCGGAGCTTTCCTGGTGCTCGAAATTGCTTCTGGCGATCAAGGCTAAAGTGGGTTGGAACATCATAACCTTAGGCTTACTCTTGCTGCGTGCAGCCAATGGACGGGACTGGTAGTCCACGCGGGCTCTCTTCGGCGGCGAAAGCGGAGAGGCCACGAGAAGGAGAGAGGGCCTTCTCCGAAGGCAGCGGGACTTCTCGGAAGCCCTCTCGCGCCTTCTGAAAAGGTTTCTGCGTCGTCGGGGACGGCTCAGAAAACTTCTCAGAAGGCCGGGGGACTTCCGAACTTTCTGAAAGGCCTTCTTCTTCTCACTTCCCCCACTCGATCGCCGCAGATCTCTACATGGTGCTCGTGCGGTAACCACACCCTGCGATCCGACGTCACGAACAGAAATGCGACATCATCACTCGGTGCGCCGGCGCCGGCGCCGTCGCCGTCGCCGTCGTCGTCGTTGTCGTCGTCGTCGTCGTCGTCGTCGTCGTCGTCTTCCGCCGTCGCCGTCGTCCGTCGTCATCGTTGTCGTCGTCGTCGTCGTCGTCGTCGGCGCGACCACCGTACCGCTCGGGGGCTCGTCGTCGTCGTCGCCGTCGTCGTCCGTCGTCGTCGTCGTCGTCGTCGTCGTCGTCGTCGTCGTCGGCGCGACCACCGTACCGCTCGGGGGCTCGTCGTCGTCGTCGTCCGTCGTCCGTCGTCGTCGTCGTCCGTCGTCCGTCGTCCGTCGTCGTCGTCCGTCGTCGTCGTCGTCGTCGTCGTCGTCGTCGTCGTCGTCGTCGTCGTCGTCGTCGTCGTCGCCGGCGCGGCCTGCGCGCCCGCGGCCTGCGCGCTTCCTGGGCGGCGGTAGGGCGCCCAGACGAGGGCCAGGGCCTGCTGGTAGGCGGCGCGGGCCTCGGGCACCTGCCCGCCCTGCAGGAGGGCGTTGCCGTCCTCTGGACGACGACGACGACGGTGGCAGCGACGCCGTCCCTGGAGGCCAAGGGAGGCCTGCCGACGACAAACGACGGACGACGGCGGACGACGGCGGCGGCGCCGCCGCCTCTGGTCTCCAGAGGCCTCCGACGCTTCTCCGAGAGGCCCTCGAGTGGCCCTCGAAGGCCTCTCGGAAGTGCCTCGTGGTCGCTGTCGTCGTCGTCGTCGTCGTCGTCGTCGTCGTCGTCGTCGTCGTCGTCGTCGTCGTCGTGGTCGTGGTCGTCGTCGTCGTCGTCGTCGTCGTCGTCGTCGTCGTCGTCGCCGTCGTTGCCGTTGTCGTCGTCGTCGTCGACGACGGCGTGGCGGCGGCGGCGTCCTGCTTCAGCGCCAGGGCGCGGTCCACGCGCGCCTGCAGCCTCTGCGCGCCGTCCGCCTCGTCCTCCGTGTCCGAGGAGAAGACCTCGTCCCAGTCCACCGCGCCGGCGGGCTGCGGCGCGGCCTGCGGCGAGGCCTGCGGCGCGGGCGGCGGGGGAGGGGAAGCGGGGGGAAGCTGTTGATCTGGCCGTGGGCCGGAGTCCAGCGCCAGCTCCCTTACACTCGCGGCGACAAGCGGGGCCAACCGAGGGGCCCGAAAGCGCAACGAGGCGAGGGCCAGCAGAAACCGACCACGGCGGAGGGACAGCGACCGAGGAAGAAACGATGCCCGGGGGGGAGATATTGGGCGGGGGAGGCGCGGAAAGGGTAGCCTAGGGTGGGCCTGGGATCTTCCTCCGAGAGGTAGTCTGGGGCAGGCGCCCAGGGGTAGCCCAGAGTATAGGGATTCGACCCCTGCCCTCGGGGGGGGGCAGGGTTGGACATCGGAAACCCTGTCGGGTTTTTGAGGGGATCCCCGAGGATCCCGTCGAGTAGCTTGACGAGGCACAAGGAGTTTGGGAGGCCACCGCCCTCAATCCGAACAGCGTGCATAACATATGTGCGTGTGCGTGGTCAAAGCTTGCGGCGCCAAAGCGAGACCGCGATGTTTCGAAATCGGGCCGTCCCCATATACAAGTAGCTGCTGTGTTCGTCAATGCGCGGTCTCCTGCAAGATAAGGGTCGGGAATGCATTCATGCGACAGCTCGAAAGGAAGCGTCCTCCAGCTGTGTGGATGCTGGCCAAGACCCGCTGCAAGAACGTGATATGTGAGCAGGCCGCAAGCAACTTGGTGGAGGCGAGAACAGACTTTGAACACGTCCTGCCCTCCATGCGCGTAACTGTGGAGATTCGGGCAGGGGTCTGGACCTCACAACAGCAAGCCAGACCACCCACCCTCCATCCGTGCAGCCCGGCAGACGTCCTCCAAAGGCTGGCCGTGGTGTGTGGGGATGCCTGAGGCAAAACGCACCGCCACATCCACACGTTTGCTCGTGCCATGTGCGTCGAGGGCGGGATGCAAAGGGGTGAGGGAAAGGCTCGAACGAGAACGGCGCCCGCACACCGTGCCGTGCTTGGACTCCCGTCGGGCCCCGCTGGAACGCGGTACGGCGCGTAGAACAGCAAAACAAAATGACATACATCGACCAAACACAAACCCAAGAAACACAATAGAAACCGCCGTTCAACAAACCTTACCACGATTCACCATTATACTATACATGATAGACATGATCCTCACTGAACATACCCAACCCAACTCCCGTCGACTCTACGGGTCGGGAAAACTATGCACCACACCAGTCCTGGGTCGAGAGTCGACGACGCCTCGGGGCACACAAGCGCGGTACGGTGCACACAAGTCGCCCGCGGACTTCGGACGGTGCAGGTGAGGGTGAAGGCGAAGTCCAGCCTTGGGCCCCTGAAGGGCGCGACGCCTTAGTTGCGCACGACGGAGACAACCTTACCCGTGTTCAGATGTGCCCAGCGGCGTTCCAGGAGTCGTCGGTTGGTCGTGGATGCCGTCGGGGGTCTCCAGAGCTATGGTCTTCTGTAGCCCACAAAGGTATATATAGTGGGTGGGGAGGCGAAAGGAGGGAAGGAGAAGAGACGAGGAAGGCCTCTCATCCTCTCTCCTTGCGCATCCCTTATGTTGCATTGATGCCACATTCGCAACTCCCGTTCTAGTCATCAGGCTCGCTGGCGCGCTCAGGGGCAACAAACTTCGGCATTATGTTTGCGCAGGGCAAAAAGAGCAGGGGGAGCATGGGAGAGAAGGCGAAGCATGACATCACTACCTCAATTCTGCTCCCGCCCCCATCTTGCTCACCCTCCGCCTCCTCCCTCCCTCCCTCCCTCCCTCCCCCCAGCCTCACACCCCTCCTCCTCCTCCTCCTCCTCCTCCTCCTCCTCCTCCATCTCCTTCCTCGCTGCGGCCACAACCACGACGTCCGCGACCGTGACCATCAGTACGACGACGACAAGGACGACGGACCACGGACGACGGACTACGACGACGACGACGACGACGACCACGACGACGGACTATGACGGCGACGACGACCATGACGACGACCACGACCACGACGACCACCACCACCACGACGACGACCACCACCACGACGACCACCAGCACCACCACCACGAAGGCCACGAAGACCACGGCGACCACGACGACCACGACGGCCGCGACGACCATGACCACGAGGGCGGCGAGCAGCCGCGAGGGGAGGCCGCGCGTCCAGGTCGCCGGCGGCCCGCCCCGCCGCGCCCGACATCGCGCTCCAGAGCGCGCGAGGGCGCCCGCGAGGGCGCGGCGGGCGGCGGGGCGCGTGGGCCCGCGGACAGGAGCGGGAGGGGGGGATGGGGGGAGGAGCGACGGCGGCCTGGGGAGGGGGAGGAGGAGGAGGAGGAGGAGGAGGAGGAGGAGGAGGAGGAGGAGGAGGAGGAGGAGGAGGAGGAGGAGGAGGAGGAGGAGGGAGAGATGAGGAGAAGGAGCTCCTCCTTCCCCTCCTCCTTCCCTCCCTTCGGTCTGTCTGTTACTCCTGCCGTTTGCTGACATCCCCGCCAGCCGGCGACTCCTGGAGCGGTGCTCCAGGAGCCGCGTGGCTTTAGCTTTAGTTTGATCACCCTCCCCAGGGCCGACCTGCCCGACATCGCGCTCAGAGCGCGCGAGGCCCTCGCGAGGGCGAGGCCCGACCCGAAGTCCCAAATTTCGGCTTGGGGGGGTACGGGCTTCACATGTGCGTTCCGCCTGCTCCATGGCGCCTGCCCCCCCCCCGGGGCCTGGAATGAAATCGGGGCCTTCGGGCTGGGTTGGGGTGGTTTGGTGGGTGGGCGGGGCAGGGCGCCGCGCGGGGCCATTGGCCAGGAGAAGGAGGGAGAGAGGGGAGGAGCGCTGTCCAAGCTTGGTCGCGAGCCTGCCCGCTTTCAAAGCAGTGGTGGCCGCTCGTCCAGCCGTTTAGCCCAGCACGAAGTATACGTGCGGGGCTCAGCCCGCCATCTTAGCTCGTTCGGCTTCTCGGCACGGGAGGTGGCGGAAGTAGCCCCGATCAAAGGGGAAGCGCCACCCACCCGTGCCTCAGCGGCGGAGAGACCGTTCGCCCTTCGGCTTGGTCGAGGAAAGGAGGGAAGGGGAGAGAAGGCGACAAGGCCCGACAAACCACCGCGTGAAGATCCAAACTGGCAACCTCACGCGATCGAGAAGGCTCTGCGCGCTGCCTGGGTGTACGTGCCCAGCCTCGAGAACAGGGAGAGGAGATGCTCCTGCTCCTCTCACCCCTCCTCCTGCCCCTGTTCCTCTCATCCCTCCTCCTCCTCTTTCTCCTGCTCCTCCTCCTCCTCTTCACCCTTCTTTTCTTCCTCTCCCTCCTCCTCCTCCTCCTCCTCCTCCTCCTCCTCTTCCTCCTCCTCCTCTTAGTTATATTAGTATTCGCAGTCGTATTCTTATAATTATGGGTACGACTAGCATTAATAGTTTTGCTGGTCGTATCATTCGTCTTATGTTCAGCACTATGAATATGTTATGAGGATTATTGGATTGTAATTTTAAGAATACTACTATTAGTCTTACTCTTCTTATTGTTTGTATTACTACCCTCAGTCGTACTTTCAACATTCCTCTTATTATTAATTGTATAAGTATTATTCCTCTTCCTCTTCCTCTTCCTCCTCCTCCTCCTCCTCCTCCTCTCAATCCCCATCCTCGTCCTCAGCCTGCGCATCGTGCCTCGCCCCGACATCCTCACCATCCAGCTCGAACTTTCACAACTGCCTCATTAATACCATCGCAGTCGTTGTCATCGCAGTCGTTGTCACCACCGTCGTCGCCCGAATGCGTTCGAATCAGCATCGCCATCATAATCGTCATCGTCATCGTCATCACCAGCATCGTCATCAGCATCATCATCATCAGCATCAGCATCAGCAGCATCATCAACATGAGCATCGGCATCACCAGCATTAGCATCATCATCATCATCATAATCATCATCATCATCAGCATCATCATCCATATCATCACCATCATCAGTATCAGCATCGTCATCATCGCCATCATCAACAGCAGCATCAGCATCAGCATCAGCAGCAGCATCATCATCAGCAGCAGTATCAGCATCATCATCGTCATCATCAGCAGCATCATCAGCATCATCGTCATGGACATCATCATCATCATCATTAGCAGCATCACCACCGCCACCATCATCATCATCATCATCATCATCATCAGCATCAGCATCAGCATCGTCATCAGCATCATCATCACCATCATCACCACCACAATTATCATCATCATCTCCACCACCACCACCATCATCATCATCATCATCATCATCATCATCAGCACCATCATCACCATTAACGCCCCTCGTCTTCATTCACGCAATCGGCATCCCCGACCTCATCCGCATCACCATCCGTTGCATCGGTCCTCTCTCACCCCCATTCCTTTCTCGCACTCGCTCGTGCCCCGCTCCTCCGTCTACGTATCCCCCCTCGCATCCTCCTCATCCGTCTCACCACCACAACCATCATCAACAACATCAACAGCATCATGACCATCACCGCCATGGGTAGATTCAAAACGATGATACGGGTGAAAATAACACAAGAAAATGCGAATACACTTAATCATACAACTAACAATAATAACAACATAAACAGCACTATGGATAAATATTATCACCATCATCATCAGCATATCAAGGTCATCACCATCATCATCATCATCATCGACAGCATCGTCATCATCAGCAGCATCAGCATCATCATAGCCATCATCATCATGATCATCGTCATCATCAGCATCACCATCATCATCAGCAGCATCGCCACAGCATCACAATCAGCATCAGATTACCAGCATCATCATCCACATCATCATCACCATCACCACCACCACCATCATCATCATCATCATCATCATCGGCATCGCCAGCATCACCATCATCATCATCATCAGCAACATCATCATCACCGCCCCCCGTCCTCATTATCACAATCGTCATCCCTGTCCGCATCCGCAACATCATCGTTTGCGTCGGCCCTCTCTCATCACCCTCCTTACTCACACTGTTTCGTGTGTCCCGCTCCTCCGTCTACGTATCCCCCCTCTCATCCTCCTCACCCGTCTCACCACCACCACCATCATCAGCAGCACCAGCAGCAACATGACCATTACCGCCATGGGCACAATCAAAATAGTCATAATAAGAATAATAAGCATTAGCATCATCATCATCATCATCATCATCATCATCATCATCATCATCATCATCATAATCAGCATCATCGTCGTCGTCATCATCATCAGCATCATCGTCATCGTCATCACCATCATCATCCTGCTCCTCACCACCACCACCACCACCATCACCATCGTCATCAGCATCAGCAGCACCATCATCAGCAACAGCATCACCATCATCCACGATAAGCAGCATTACCATCATCACCAGCATCATAAACATCAGCATCATCATCGTCATGGTCGCCAGCGTCAGCATCAGCATCAGCGTCAGCATCAGCATCAGCCTCAGCCTAACCCTCATCATCCTCGTCATCATACGCATGAGCACCATCATCATGAGCAGCATCATCAGCAGCATCATCAGCAGCAGTATCACCACCATTATCAACAACGTCAGCATCAGCTCCATCATCATCTTCATCATCAGAAGCATCACCATTATCATCAGCATCATCAACCTCGTCATCGTAATCAGCATCATTATCAGCAGCAGCGTCATCATCATCAGCATCATCATCATCAGCATCGCCATCATCAGCAACATCATCAGCATCATCAGCATCCGTTTCCTCATCCTCATCCTCATCCTCATCCACGTTCTCATCCTCATGATCATCCTCATCATCATCCCCATCCTCAGCCTCAGCCTCGCAATCACCATCATCAGCAGCATCAGCATCAGCATCAGCAGCATACGTATAGTCATTATCATTAGCATCAACATCATCGGCATCATCAGCATCGCATGATAAACGACATCACCATCATCAACAACAGCAGTACCGACAAGAATAGCATCATCATCACAATCCCAATCATCAGCAGCAGCGTCGTCGTCATCATCATGATCACAATGATCATCATGATCATCACCATCATCAGCATCATCATCATCGTCATCGGCATCGTCATCGTCACCACCACCATCATAAGTATCATCATCATCACCATCATCATCATCATCAGTATCCTGCCCCTCCCTCATCAGCCGCATCCTCATCCTCATGTTCATATTCAGCATCATCAGCATCAGTATAGCCATCATCATAATATCCATCATCATCAAAACCATCACCAGCACCAACATAACCACCATCAGCATCAGCATCAGCATCGATATCATCATCAACAGCATCATGTTCAGCATCATCATTACCACCATCCTCATCATCATCGTCAGCATCATCATCTGTATCAATACCCTTATTATCACCATCGTCATCATCATCACCATCATCATCATCTCCATCATCATTATCATCATCATCAACAGCATCATCATCATCATCATCATCATCATCATCATCATCATCATCATCATCATCATCATCATCATCATCATCATCATCATAATCATCATCACCATTCCCCTCCCTTCCCCTCCGATGGTTACCCCTCATCACCAGCCCGTTCCCGGCTACCTCAAACTCGTCCCCAACCTCTCCTGGAACGCCCTCTGATTGTGATTCCGAGCCGGAACCTGCCAGGAGGCCCAGAAGAGGAGCGTGAGCAGGAGAAAGAGGGCAGAGGGAGGAGGGAGGAGGAGGGAGGGTGGTGGAGGAGGGAGGGAGGATGGAGGGAGGAGGGAGGGAGGAGGGAGGTACGAGCGAGCGAGCAAGCATACATCAGGGCAGTCGAGGAGACGATAACACAGCGTGGATGGAGACGGCAAAGGTGTAGACAGAGATGCCCACCCCTCCATCTACGAAAATGGTAGCGATGGGGGGGTCTCGCAGGTACTGGGGAAACCGAAAGGAGCCGATACTGCTACTCCCTGGACCTCTCCTGGGGTGCGTTCTGACCAAGATTTCAAGGCGACTCCCAGGAGGCCTAATAGCGGGAAAATGGGCGAAGGGTAGCGGTATCGGTACCTTTTCCTCCTCTGAGGTACACCTCGCAACCACGAATCTGCACCAATTTACGGCGGGAGATTCTGACAGGTACGCCTCGCGACCATCACTCCAGACAATCATGCCGCAAGGCGCGCTGTGTGCCAGGCGGTGCCGCCCAGCCAAAGACACCGTGCATAGAATGAGGCCGAGTGCAGATGACATGCAACAGTGCAGGCCAGGCATA